GGACCCCACCGCTCCTGCCACAGCGGCTGAGGAGACCTGGGTGAGGCAGCAGCAGTGGCGGCCAGGCCCTGCCCACACGTGCAAGAGAAATGCCTGGGGAGCGCCGTGATGCATCAGCTCGCTGAACAGGAGCCGGCAGTGTGTGCCCGGGTGGCCAAGAAGGCCAACAGCATCCTGGACTTTATCAGAAATATCTTGACCAGCAGGACTAGGGAAGTGATTGTACCCAGCACTAGTGAGGCTGCACCTTGAATCCTGTGTTCAGTTTTGGGCTCCTCACCACAAGAAAGACTTAAAACGTGTACAAAGATGGGCAACAAAGCTGGTGAAGGGTCTGGAGAGCAAGTCTGATGAGGAGCAGCTGAGGGAACTGGGGGTGTTCAGTCTGGAGGCTGAGGGGAGACCTCATCGCTCCCTGCAGCTGCCTGAAAGGAGGGTGTAGCGAGGGGGGACTGCTCTCTTCTCCCAAGTAACGAGTGACAGGGCAAGAAGAAACAGCCTCTGTGCCAGGGGAGGTTTAGATAGGATATTAGGAAATTTTTTTTCACTGAAAGGGTTGTCAAGCCTTGGAACAGGCTGCCCAGGGAAGGGGTTGAGTCACTGTCCCTGGAAGTGTTTGAAAGACGTGTAGCTGTGGCACTTGGTGGACGCGGTAGCGTTAGGTGAACAGCTGGACTCAAAGTTCCTTTCCACCCTAAATAATTCTGTTCAAAGGGTTCTGTTTCTTTTGTGAGGTCCCATTTTTCCCTGTCAGCTCCAGCTGCCTGTCTAGGGGAGAGGCTTTCTTGAGAAAGCGAGTAATCTGGGCTGCCCTCAGTTTGTGAAGCATTCATGTGACTGAAATGTTTATATTCCATGTAAGAAGGGAAGAAACAAGTGACAGTTCCTGTTTCCAGTATAGCTTTTATTTTTTCCTACACACAAAGGAACAGACAGCCGTCCTTTAAAAGGAAAGCACTTTTTTATGGCACATGTGTGCTGGCCATACAGTATAAATATTGTGTTGACAGACTACACTCTTTGGGGTTTTTCCCATTTATTTTCTTTACCTGTATGTATTTCAGCATCTCTACTTAAAAAAAACAACCAACCAACCAAAAAACCCCACCCACCATCAGAACTTCCTGGAAGATAACAGATATGAAAAATAGGAAAATCAAATAGTAGCATCTTTTTTTTTTTTTTTAATCAGTGTATGCCCCAGCATACAGAATATTGTTGGCACTGGCTTTCTAGAGACAACTGCTGTAATAAAGAGGCCTTAATTTTTATTTTATTAAATAGCATATTTATTTTTCTTTGCATCAGCAAATGTAGAGATTTTTTTCTTATTAAAAATTTATTGGGAGGCAGACAGGATTCAACAGAAATAATCTCTGCCAGTGGCTGTTTTCCACGTGGACTGTAATTGTCCGGTGGAGACTGTTTGACATGCAGGGAGCCGCACCTCTGGCATCCCTGTGGCTCTGGGCTTGAGACAGTCTCTGGCACGAAATTCTCAGTCACTAGATACTGAAAGATGGCAGCTGCAATTATATCACCCCGACTATAATAGGAAATGTGGAAGAGGCATATTAATATATTTTTTAAAACCCAACCAACCAAACAGAAGCTCCACCCAGTCCTGAGACAGGCAAGTCTTGTACATTATTTACAGGCTCACACAGTATGTCAGGATTGACAACGGCATTGACTTTTTGGAAGTATTAGAAATAGGCTGTTTCTGTTGCAAAATGCATAGGTAAATAGGTTTCAAATACTTCCATTCCAAGGTTTTAGAAGATTAGTTAATTATCTTCATTTTAAAATTTGTTAAAAGGCAAAAAACCCTATCCAGAGCTTGACTATGATTCCCATTCCTGCAGCGAAGATGTGCAAAAATGACCCAATAGCTTGCTGTGGTTTTAATGTGTTTCAGGGCACGACAGCAGTAAAGTCAGGGAAGTTTGAGAAGCACAGAAAAGTTTATTTAAGAAAAAAATTTTAGAAAGAAAAAAATAACCATAGCTATGTAAAATTCCGTACAGGTCCAGGCACTCCTGGGATCTTACAGTGCTCAAGGGTTCGATCACAAACTCGGGCTGGGGTTGCACTCTCACTTCTTGCGTCAAGCGCTTCTGTAAACGTGTGTGTGTTTATTCTCCATCGGTAGCTGCTGGTTGGCTGACTCACGCTACACGCAAATGATCTGAAGTGGTTTTTTTTTTAGCTGTTTGTGCTGAGTTTCCTTGAGGCCAGTGGCTGCACCTCAGCAGGTCTTTCAGTCAGTCTCCCCCCATGTCCTGCCACCGAAAATGCAGCACATTCCAGGCACCACAGGAAGGGAAGGGAAGTACCCGTCTGCTGTCCTCTAGTTGTAGGAAATGTCACCATCCCCTAGTGCCTGCACAGTGGTTAGTTCCAGTATAGTCATTGGAGCGGCTACTGAATATTCCTCACATTGAGCAGGTAAATCCAGCTATTTCTTAGTCGAGTTGTGAGCAAAGAGCCAGAGCGAGCTCTGTAAGGGCTGCTGTTAAAGACAGGAGCTGGTGTTCCTTCGCTTGACACCCAGGGCCCGCACCAATGCCAGCTTCGCCTTGCTAAACGTTATCGAGTCAGCGGTCCACACACCTTCCCGGTGGACTCTTCATTCACATGCACCAGCAAGCAACGGGATGAAGACCCATAAATATAAAAGTGTTCAAAAATTCCCCCCCACCCTCCTCCCCTGACCAGGTAAATATATTGAATTATTGAATTTTAGCCCCTAGTTTTCAGGAAGCAGACCAAGGACCATCTTTGTGTTTCAACAGAAACCATCCAAGGTTGCTTTGAAGTGTGATTTGCAATTCAGGGATCTCTAAAACTTCTCTTTGCTTGTGTCTATCCTTGAGCTGAAAGGGTAATTTCTTTTTTTTTT